GAAAACAGTTGCCATGTCGGACCGGCGAGCCAACGGCGCCACCCACAGGTAGTTGGTGTAGTCATCCTTGAGCGTCGGCACGTAGCGAAGTGAAGGGTGAGCGTCACCCAAGTCCATGATATCACTATGCACGAGCTCCAAAGGTCGAGTTGTGCGCTTGTCTCCACCTGTGGGAAATGGGGCTTTGCTCATCTTCCCTCGAAGACATGAGTCACACGGGGGCTTGAGGGGACTTGTCTTGTCGGATATGGAGAGTCCTTCAACATCTCCATTGCGAAATGTTGCGTCCATGGATGTGTATGATGGGTGACCCAAGCGTTTGTGGGCCATGCGGTATGTGATCGATGCATGAGCAGACTGCACATTCAGCCCTCCAAGACCAGGTTTATTCGATGCTTCATTCGGATGATCATGACCAGATTCATGGGTAGATGTAAGTGCAGGCTCGTATTGCATCATGAGCACACCATGCATGATCATCCCAATCCTAATGACCACATGCTCATCTCCAACTGCCATAGTGATCTCAATGTTGCCATCATCACGTGTGCGAATCCGAGCTCCCTTCTTGTGCAGTTGGCAATAAGAGAGCAAGTTGGACTTCAATCCGGGGACATAGAGCACGTCGGTGAAGCGTACGGTTGTTCCATCAGGTGTCGTTGCTCGAATTGTTCCCGCCATTGAGCTCAACAGGTGGCCCCCGTCAGCAAGCTCCACGTACACAGGTTCGTTCAGCTCCTCTACACCCTCAAACCAATCCTTTTCTGAAGTCATGTGTTGGCTGCATCCGCTGTCCAGCAACCACATCGACCCTCCGGCTGATGGTAACTTTGCTTGTGACGATCGAACTGTTGCAACGCATGTAACGGTTCGTTTGTTGTCTCCCCCGACTGCCCCTTGCTGTTTTGTCGCTTGGTCGTCACGTTTTGGACTTTCACTCCTTCGAGGCGAGGACGAACGGCTACTCCAGGTGCGCTGGTTTGTTCTCCCTCTGTTTTGTGGTTCCCAACTTGGTGGTGACCAACCCGGAGGCGCCTTGGGACACTTGTAGAACGGGTGGCCGGATTCCTTGCAGTACCAACACACAAGGTTAGACCGCTCTCCTTTTCCTTCGTTGCCTTTGAATTTGTCCCCAACCGGCGCATGTTGCCCTCCCGTTGACCTTGTCGCATTCTGGTTGCCCTTTGTCTCGGTCCTCTCCTTTGCTGGTGAAGTATCTCCACGTGCTTGACCAGCCATGCGGGGAGGACGTTTGTCACGGTTGGTCTTGCTAATGAGGTCTTGGTAACGTTGTTCCTGAATCATCATTCGCTGTAGTGTGTAGTTGTCCGAAATGTCGCGTAGCATTGCTGAATGCCTTAGCTCCTCCCAATGCGGCGGCAGTCCAGTAATCAGATTCAAGGTGAATGAATCTTCATCCACCATTTTTCCCACCATTGCCAACTTGTCACGAATTGCAGTTGCTCGGTTGATGTATTCTTCCACTCTTTCTTGACTCCCCATCTTCAGGTTGTCCAATTGCCTTTGGAGAGATGCCTTTGCCACCGAATCCTTTGCCTGGTAAGTCTCCATCAGGTACTCCCATGCTTCGAATGCCGGACTGTATGACTCTTGGAACATGTCCAGTTGCAGCTGAATCGTTGCGCTCACGCTATGTAGTAGTACCCAAAAGGCCAGCGTAGCCCGTTGTGAGTAATCTGCTTGCAGAACTTCCAGCCGTTCTATTGCATCTCGCATGTCTCCATTCGCCATTGTAACTGGATATTGTAGTGTCACGAAAAACTCCCACAGATTTGTCACGCGCGCGTTCATGCGAAACCGAAGAGCCCACTCTCGGAAGTTAGTCCCGTCGAACGGGGTTGTTGTGAACGCTTTGTCCACTGCTGCTCCCACCATCTTGCGTGACAACCTGTCCTTGTCTTCTTCCGTGTACTCTCGTGGAGACGGGTCGAAGAGCGTAGGCACGTTAGATGGTCGAGGTAATTGTACCGTGCGATGTGTGCCTTCACGTTCCACCACTTCCACTTGATCACGTCACATAACACCACTTGACTGCATCTCGTGCCCCATGCGCCCCATGCTTCCCGCAGGTACAGCTTCCATTTGACACCGTGGCGCACGAGGAGGTATGACGTTGTTGCCCAAAAGATGAGATCTGCCCATCACGAGAACTCTAATGGGATGGGAGTTAGTACCAAGACGTCGTAGTGGGGGAGCACCAATAGTGTAGGATTCGAATCCCACACCTTCCATGCCCACATGACTGGTTCGACCACTCCCTTCACCAATCTGTCCTCTCATGTTTCTTCCCATGCCAATCCCGTCACCATGCTCCATCACATTCGTTCCACTCCCGTATGCATCATCCCTCCCCGTTGCTTCCCTTTGCATGGTTGATTGAGGTTCGGGGTGGGAGCTCCCCTCTCCTTGGAAGGATGCATCCCTCCCTTGGGATGACTCTCCTCCTTGGGGTAAGCTTCCCTCTCTTTCACCTTCAATCTCTGCATCCATATTTGAAGCATGAGTTTGGTTACGCGGAGTGTTTGGGTTGCTGAAATCTTGAACTTGGGCTGACATGTTGAACTTTGCTCTTAATGACGCTTGGAGTGTCGGTGGTGCCCTTGCAATCATGTTCTCCAGGTGCTCATGTTGAGCCATGATGGCTTCTTCAAACGCCTCGTATCCAGCATCGACTTCATCGTCGAACTGCGCCATGCCTTCAATCCAAATGTTGTCACTTGCTGTGCGAGTTTGCTAATATGTCAGTCCAATGTGAATGCTGATAAGGTCCTGACCAAATTTCGGCAGCATGCCCCCTAGAGTTGCTCTGATACCATGCTAGAAAGGCATGATGCCGGCGTTGCGGAAGCTAGTTTGTAGAAAGAGCAAGGCTGGAAGACATGTACTGAATGGCTGGAAGCAAAACAAGAATAATGGACTTGATTGGTTTCCTGGAATGACAGAGCAGGGTATATATGTCAGCAGCTCACCCCATCAGGAGGGCCCTGTCCACACCAATAATCCTACACCACTAATTCTACCCGCCAATAATTCTTATCCTCCAATAATTCTAGACTCCAATAATTCTGGCCTTCCAATAATTGTACACTTATTGGAGGGCTGGGAGTCTTATAAAGGAATACTACAGTAAAATCTAACAGCATTTGTAATATCTTATGTTGGTGTATTTAACATGTTTTTCAATATATGTTCATATCTTGACCAGCCAGATACGTTCCCGTTCCTGAACGTATACATTTATCTATGGCCGAAAGCTTTTCACCCCCGCCTCATTCCCTCTTTGTTCTGAATTTTCCACTCCTCCCACCCTCCCTCAGTATCCAGGGTGAGCCGCCTCCGTTACTCCCCACCCCAGCATGCTGCACGCACTAACGCATGCCCAAACTCCCTTCCGATACCGCCCTTCTCTTATGTTCTTCCCTTCCCCCACCCTCTCCCTTCATTCCAAAAACCGACTCCAGTACTTCTCTTGAACCGCCTCCTGTGCAGGGCCTCATATTCACTTTTAGGGTCGTATACCCTTCAGGGTCCCCTTGCGTGTAAACTCTGATTGACAGTGTTCCTAAAAAAAAAAGCCTGAAATGACAGTGTTGTGCTAAAAAAAAGACTGATCCATCAGGGTTCCACTAGTAAAAAAGCTGAAACTATTATAAAGTCTTGATTTAAAATTCAGGAGTAAAGTTACTACAGTAGCTTCCTAGAAAAGAGCAGCTGCTCTTATTATCTAATAGGAGTCATCCATGTATCAGCATCGGAATCAGACTCATCATCACTCCCCTGCGCCTTTGGTTCTTCCCACTCCTCGAGTGCCTCCTTTCCCCTGCCACTTCCCTCCCCCTCTCTTGCTGGAGGTGCTGCCCCATTGCCAAATGGCCGACGCTTCTTGTAGCTGCGCCAGATTTTCACCAGTTCGTTGTAGTCAGGCTCGTAGTCGAGGAGCAACATCGTGACGAGATCTTCAAGCCGAGCGTCTTTGAGGCTCCCACGCTGCCACGATTTGACGATATTCTGGCGGGAAAACCCGCGCTCACATTCCACTGTGCTCAGCGGCAGCACTGCGACAGCCACCCAGAGACGCACGAGGTTGGGGTAGCTAGTCGTCCAATCGCTTGTCTTCAGCATCGCTGTTAGCCCGGCGTGGAAGCTTCGCTCGTTATTCGGGGCACCTGCGAGGATGGGGCAGAAGGCACGCAGTTCTTTCATCGCCCGCAGTTTGTCGATCCCTGCCACACAAAACAAAAGGGAGATTGTTAGTTAGATTGGATGGCTTGGCATGGTATACCCGTGTATGCATGGCATGGCACTATTGAAACATAGGAACAAAGAGAATCATGGACAACAAGGGTGCACAAAATGCGAGTACCTAGAAGGATGTGGTCAGTCTCCTGTGCCCTGAACAGCGAGACGAGTGACATGAGCCACTCGACACACTGTTTGTGGCGCTCCGCTCTCCCAGGCGGGTACTCGTCTGGCATGAAGAGCCTCACTCCCACCAGGTTGTCCAAGTTTTCAAACCTCTTGCTGAGGTTTTTTACGAGCGTCTCGGCAAATGCTGTGCAGAGATCGACGCAGGCGTCGTGTGTTCCCGGAGTTGGGTAGTCCTCGCTTGGGTTCTCGTGCAGTTGGAACTTGTGTGTAGTCGGCCGACCGTCAGAGTCCACACCCTGCACTGTCACCTCGGGCTTGTCACTGTCAGGCCCGTACTTCAAGATGAACGGGGACAAGCGCGCACTCAATCCGCCTCCAAAATCGTCGCCGCAATCGACGTAGCGGGTCTCCAGGTGAGACATGGTTCTCCTGATCTGCGCATGGACACCTGCGATGTCAAGCTATGAGAGGGCGACAGAAATAACACAGAGGGACATAAGGAAAGTGAGCCGGGGGGGTGATTTATCAAACAATATGTGTTGTGCTTAAGCTCCCACAATATAAATGCATTGACATACACGCAAAGAAGTCACGCATACAAGAACTAGACATCATAAGAAGTGCAGCACATGCTGAAAGGACTTGTTGCTCACCTCTCGTTGTTGGAAGGACTTGTTCAACATGTTGAGCTGCTCGAGCACGTCTGCAAGAAAGAACAACAAGAAATGGAACCTGTAGCTGGTGGCGAGCTGGTACAGAGTTTCGTCCCACTCAGACAGCATGACGATGAGCGCAGGGAAGACCGCCACCGTTCGCAGAACGGCATCACCCCTGGAGAGCCAGCGGACTTGATGAATGCCTTGAAGCTCCATATTCGTAGCCGTGAAGAGTTCCTGCAACTCCAAAAATCGTTGGTGCCAGGGGCTGGAACGGTTGAGATACTCTGCGACTTGACGGACCAGCCCGTCCACCATGTCGAACTCGGGGATTGCATCCGCTGTTAGAAGATAGTACTGCACGAGAAATGAATGAACTAGAAAGAAGTTGGGTACAAGTATGAAACCCTAAGTTTGTTGTACCCCCTAAGGCTAAACCCACTATAGCCTACACAATATAAACATATAATGTTTGACACACCCCCATAGGCTAAGTGGGAGACAACCAGATGGTCACAAGATCAGTCAAAGCAAAGCAAAGCAAGCTCAGGGTGGATCTCAAGGAAACCACACAAATTCTGAGCACAAGAAAGTGGTCACAAGACCAGTTCACATGCAGGTTGATAATATAACAAGAGATACAGTGATCACAACCTAGCAAGAGTAAACATGCAGGTATATATATAGAGATCACAGTACAAGCAGAGTCAAGAAGTAAGCAAGTGAGGCCCAGTAGGCACGAGGCCTAGAACAGTACAGAAGCGCTGATGATCACAAGGCTGAAGCGCCTTGGTGAACACATCAGCAGTGTTGGCCCGAGTGGCCACGTAACGCAGACGAAGTTGACCGCGCTGCTGCAGCTCTCGAGCAAGAAAGTAGCGCAGAGCGATATGCTTCGTTCTGTGCTCCAGTCTGTGCTCCTCACACAAGGCAATGGCAGCCTTGTTGTCGACGTACAGCACTGGAGGAGAACGAGGCCGCTCTCCCAGGTCGGTCAGCAGGTAGGTGAGCCAGCGTAACTCCTGTGCAGCCATGGCTGTGGCGTAGATCTCAGCCTCACAACTGGAGCTGAGAACAGAAGACGAGCGTGTAGAACGCCAAGAAACTGAACCAGAGCCAAGGCTGAAGGTGTAACCCTGAGACGACCGCTGAGTAGCCTGGTCGTCTGCCCAAGAAGCGTCTGAGTGCCCCGTGAGTACAACTCGGTCTCGCCCTCCAAGCACTAGCCCCATGCCCGACGTACTGCACAAGTAGCGCAACACCCTCTTAGCAGCATCCATGTGCTCCTTCCGGTGACGACCAGGAGCGACATAGCGTGCAAGGATGCTAAGAGGGTATGCAAGGTCAGGCTGAGTGCAGGTCATCAGGTACATGAGGCAGCCCACAAGCTCTGGATACGGGCCACTCGGCTCTACGGACTCATCCGAAGGCAGAGCTGAGAGCGAGTGACCGGTAGGCAGAGGAGTGGCCTGAGGCGAGGAGTACGTGAAGCGGAAGCGCTGAAGGACCTGCTGCACCATGTGTGACTGAGTCAAGGTGATGGTGCGCCGTGCTCTGTCCCGGGTGATCCGCAAGCCAAGATAGCTTGTCAGTTCACCCAGGTCTGTGCACGTGTGTCTCTTCTGCAGCTCCGACTTCACGTGGGCGAGTGCCATAGTGTCAGCAGTGGCAAAGACCAAGTCGTCGACGTACACGAGGATGTAGAACGGCGGCAGCGAAGTGTCGGTGCGTAGAAACAGCGACGGGTCAGCAGTAGAAGGAGCGAACCCAAGAGCCGCAAGTGTAGTCCTCAGTGTGTCGTGCCACTCACGCGGCGCCTGGCGGAGACCGTAGACTGGCCGCCGGAGGCTCCACTGGGTACCAGGAGGGAACGACCCAGTGAAGCCAGGTGGGCGGCGCAGCCAGATCTCCTCGTGCAGGCTGCCCTGTAGGAAAGCAGTGCTGAAGTCAAGCGAGTGGAGCTCGTAGTCACGCTGAGCGGCGACGTGCAGCAGAACCCGAAGAGTGGTCATCTTCGGGGTCGGGGAGAAGGTCTGGAAGAAGTCAACTCCCTCTCGCTGACTGAAGCCTCGTGCAACGTAACGCGCCTTGAAGACAGGCGGAGAACCCGGCGGCCGCTTCACCCTGAAAATCCACATGCCACTGACAATGTTCGCCCCAGGTGGGGGAACGTCGTCGACGTAGGTGCCTGTGGACTTCCAGGAAGCTATCTCTGTGTCCATGGCTGTCTGCCACTGAGAGGAGTACTCACCCGCGATCGCCTCAGCGTAAGAGCGCGGGGTCGGGATGTCTGGAGCATCCGGGTCTCCCTCAGGGGCAACCAGCATGGACACGAGATGAGGTAAAGCAGCGGCAAAGCACTCAAACTCCTCCTGCCTGTCCTCAAGGACGTCCGTGCCAAGAGCACACTCACCCCCGACGGACGGAGGACAGACAGACTCAGACTCAGACTCAGCGACAAGGCTAGCGGCGTAGTCTAGACGACAAGCGGCAGCAAAGTCAACTAACTCAGCGACTAGAGCAGACGCAGCAGAGGACTCAAAGGAAGGGTCAGTGACAACAGTGGCGAGGAGACGCGTGACAGTAGGACTGGCAGCACGAAGGGAGTCAGACTCCGGGTCAGCAAGAGCAGGAAGAGAGGACGTAGGAGGAGACGGCAGAGGGACACGCTGAGGAGCAGTGGAAGGACGAAGCGTCATCTGGTGAGTGCCTGGGACAGCAGGAGGACGCTGACCAGTGTGAGCAGCACGAACAGGCGACGCACGACGAGACTCGGGCGATGCAGGACGAGACTCAGGCTCACGACCTCCAGTCGGACCAGTGTAAGGAGAAGGACCAGGGAGTGGTAAGGCAGGAGGCAACTGTGACTGCGAGGGGACTGGCGGAAGACACTCTAAGGAGGGAGCAGGACAAGGAGGAGGCGACTGACCAAGAACCTGCTGAAGGAGCGGAACGAAGTACGGCTGCGGCCGCGTAGTGCCGCCAGAACCAGCAGAGAGACCACCAGTAGCCTCAGCTCCAGGGCCACCAGCGACAGCGCCCGCAGGACCACCAGTAGCTCCACCAACGTCAGCACCAGCAGCAGCTCCAACTCCAGGGTCCTCAGCACCAGCAGTAGCTCCAACTCCAGGGTCCGCAGCACCAGCAGCAGCTCCAACGCCAGGGTCCGCAGCACCAGCAGCAGCTCCAACGCCAGGGTCCGCAGCACCAGCAGCAGCTCCCACTCCAGGGTCCTCAGCACCAGCAGCAGCTCCAACTCCAGGGTCCGCAGCACCAGCAGCAGCTCCAACGCCAGGGTCCGCAGCACCAGCCGCAGCTCCGACTCCAGGGTCCTCAGCACCAGCAGTAGCTCCAACGCCAGGGTCCCCAGCACCAGCAGCACCACTCCGGAGACTGCAGCGCCGAGCGTACCACTCTCGGAGTCGCTGGGGAGAGGGTAGCTCCCGCCGAGGCGGGGAACCACGAGCACCAGCTGCAGCAGCACCTCTCCTGAGGCTGCAGTACCGCGAGTACCACTCACGCAGCTGCTGGGAAGAAGGAGGGTCTCCAGGCGTCGAACGCCCAGGAGTAGCACCCCCAGGCTCAGCACCCTCAGTCGCAGCACCCCCAGGCTCAGCACCCTCAGACGTAGCACTCTCAGGTCCAACACCCCCAGGCTCCGCACCCCCAGGCTCCGCACCCCCAGGCTCCGCACCCCCAGGCTCCGCACACTCAGGCTCAGCACCCCAAGCAGGACGAGAGTCGACAGCTACCTCGACAGGCTCAACCGGGTCTACCTGGGACACACCTGAGGGAGCGGCACCCTGAGGGGGGAGGGGGTCTACTACAGCAGCACCTGGAGCGAGGAAGAGAGGCGGGGGGGGGGAGCGGGGCAGTGCGGTAGGGGAAGAGGCGGTAGTAGGGGACGGACTCGTCAAAAGTGACGTCCTGAGAGGGCAGGACACGACGCGAGGTGGGGTGGTAAAACTGCCAACCAGACGCGTCCGGGACAAAGCCAAGGAAGACGCAAGGAACAGCGCGGGAGGAGAGCTTGTCCGCGGACGTGTCGCGAACAAAAGCTCGAGATCCCCAGACCCGAAAATGCGACGCATCACCAACCTCTCCCGTCCAACGCAGTGTCGGCAAAGTCTCCGGAACGGAGACACGGGGCCAGAGGTTGAGCTGATGCGCAGCGTATCGGACCGCAAACGGCCACAGAAAGTGGGGGGCAGCCGCATGGATCAAGGAGGTACGAGCGACCTCCATGACCAAGCCAATGCGGCGCTCAGCAACCCCATTCTGCTGTGGAGAGGCTGGAAGCGTGAACGACTGCGCAATGCCCTGCCCCTGACAGTAGGCCCTCAAGAGGTCGGAGGAAAACTCCCCACCTCTGTCAGAGTGCAGACGCAGGACAGGAAAGTCCGAGTGGAACCTCTCGCTGAGCTGAAGACGGGCAGTGCGGATCCAAGGGATCAAAACATCAGGGACTTCACCCTTGGTGCGCAAGGGGAAGACCGTGGTGTAGCGCGAGTAGTCGTCAACAACTATCAAGAAGTACCTCTCCTGACCCTGTCCACGGACGCAGGCTGGGCCCCACACGTCCAAGTGGAGCGTCTGCAAGGGAGCAGTCGTCGGGGGAAACGAGGAGGAGTGAGGAGCGGCGCGCTGCCGCCCCTCGACACAGGGAAGACAGGGAGGAGCAGGAGAGGGCGGGAGGGGAGGGAGTACCCGGGGAAGACCAGAGACAAGGTACCGTTTGTGCATGCCACGAAGGCGCTGCACTGACGGGTGACCAAGGCGGTGGTGCCAGAGGACGGTCTCGTGTGCTAGAGAGCGACACGAGCAGGGGGCAGACAGCTGACCTGAAGCAGACGCAGACGCAGCGACCTGAGGGGACTCAGTGGTCAGTGTGTACAAGTCCGACCCCAGCTGCCGAGTGAAGGTAGCCAGGTGACGACCCGTCCGAGCGCACGTGCAGTGTGTCACGCGCTCGTAGGCAGGGGTGAACTGGTGGACACCCCCGTCCTGGAGCGCACTACCCGCCACCAAGTTCGTGGAGAACGAGGGGAGGTAGAGACCTGACAGTGTGCCCGACGGGACCGCAGGACAAGGGAGGACAATGGAGGAGGTCGCAATGACCGGACCCCCAGAGGGGTCAGCGAGGGAGACAGCAACTGGCCGAGCAAGCTGCTCAAGGGCAGTGCGGTCACGAAAGAAACAGCGAGAAGCACCTGAGTCCAGTGTGAAGGTGTGCAGTGCCTCAGTAGACGCAGCGGGCGCAGACTCGCGAGCACCTAGAGCAGCAGCCTCACCAGCACCTGGGGCAGCAGACACACTAGCACCTAGAGCAGCAGCCTCACTGGTCCTAATGCCCGGGCCGGGCGGGACACACAGGTAACAGTCACCCTCTCCACTAGTAGACATCACATACATGGCACCAAGGATAGCATCAAAGTCAAGAGCATAGACATCAATGTTTTTCTTGATCAGATCACCCAACGAGGCAGCTCAGTAGCAGCCGGAAACTGGGTGCGCCAGGCGTCGTCGAGGCGGGAGAAGCAGCGCTGCAGGGTGTGCGCCCTCCCACACGGCTGACCAGCGCGGTCACCTGTGCGGATGACGTACGGGCAGCTAAGACCACCCCCCCCACGCTGAGAGTACCACTCACGGAGTTCCTGGGGCGACAGGGTCTGCTGCTGGCGCAGGCCACCGCCCGAGCTGCCACGAGCTCCACTGCCTCCGCCGCCCCCACGACCACCACTGCCACCGTGGCCGCCGCCGCCACCACCACTGCCCCAACCCCGGCCACCTCCTCCACCGCTGCCGTCACCACCCCCGCCGCTGCCACTGGCCCCTCCAGCCCCGCCACCACCCCCACCGCCCCCACCGCCCCAACCACCGCCGCCCCCATCATCACCGCCGCCCCCCTTGCCCCCTTTGCCCTTGCCGCAGCGGCGCCTCGCACTCGCAGTAGACGCAGTCCCGACCTTCTCAGCACCTTCGCAGGCAAATGCTGTGCAGAGATCGACGCAGGCGTCGTGTGTTCCCGGAGTTGGGTAGTCCTCGCTTGGGTTCTCGTGCAGTTGGAACTTGTGTGTAGTCGGCCGACCGTCAGAGTCCACACCCTGCACTGTCACCTCGGGCTTGTCACTGTCAGGCCCGTACTTCAAGATGAACGGGGACAAGCGCGCACTCAATCCGCCTCCAAAATCGTCGCCGCAGTCGACGTAGCGGGTCTCCAGGTGAGACATGGTTCTCCTGATCTGCGCATGGACACCTGCGATGTCAAGCTATGAGAGGGCGACAGAAATAACACAGAGGGACACAAGGAAAGTGAGCCGGGGGGGTGATTTATCAAACAATATGTGTTGTGCTTAAGCTCCCACAATATAAATGCATTGACATACACGCAAAGAAGTCACGCATACAAGAACTAGACATCATGAGAAGTGCAGCACACGCTGAAAGGACTTGTTGCTCACCTCTCGTTGTTGGAAGGACTTGTTCAACATGTTGAGCTGCTCGAGCACGTCTGCAAGAAAGAACAACAAGAAATGGAACCTGTAGCTGGTGGCGAGCTGGTACAGAGTTTCGTCCCACTCAGACAGCATGACGATGAGCGCAGGGAAGACCGCCACCGTTCGCAGAACGGCATCACCCCTGGAGAGCCAGCGGACTTGATGAATGCCTTGAAGCTCCATATTCGTAGCCGTGAAGAGTTCCTGCAACTCCAAAAATCGTTGGTGCCAGGGGCTGGAACGGCCGAGATACTCTGCGACTTGACGGATCAGCCCGTCCACCATGTCGAACTCGGGGATTGCATCCGCTGCATCTTTTGTGAAGAATGAAACAGGAATAAATGAACTAGGAAAGTGTGAGATACAAATATGAAAGCTGTACCCCTTAGTGTCTACCCCACTACAGCCTACTTAGGCTAAGGCATATATATCTGACACACCCCCATAGGCAAAGTGGGGGAGAACTAGGGGTCAAAAGACCAGTCAAGCAAAGCAAAGCAAAGCAAAGCAAGCTCAGGGTGGATCACAACGTCACCACACAGTCTGAGCACAGGTTCAAAGGCCATAAGGCCAGTTCACATGCAAGTTCATATATAAAGGTAAACAAGCAAGTGCAGGTATATAGAGATCACAGTACAAGCAAACTCAAGAGGTAAGCAAGTGAGGCCAAGTAGGCACAAGACCGAGCATAGTACAGAAGCGCTGATGATCACAAGGCTGAAGTGCCTTGGTAAAGATATCAGCAGTGTTGGCCTGAGAGGCCACGTAAGCAAGGCGCAGCTGACCACGCTGCTGCAGCTCACGAGCAAGGAAGTAGTGAAGAGCAATGT